ATACAGCGTGTCTACGATCTTCAAACACTGTCACTTCTGAGGGTACTAGAATATTATATAAAGGAAGTCTATAAAATATTGTTCAGACACATTAATATAAACATATGAAATACAAGTAATATTCCATCTCATTTATGATTCATTAAAAAATAAAATCCTAAAGCCCCTTCTTTATTCCAATAATTATGCGTTCGAGTTTGCCGCACAGTTGAAAACGGCGAGGCGCTCGAATATACATAGAAAAAAAAAAAAAAAAATTCCGCAAGAAGTCACCGCCCCAGTTGAAACAACGACCGTCGTGTCAATGGACTCCGTGTTCGAATGAAACTCGACGAGGATCCCGTTGCGTGGGTGGTGCGCCGTTTATTCCCCGAGATGGAAGTGGGTCAGAACAGCCACCGTGCGCGCGAATGAATAGGGGGATGGAAAATGCATCCGTGAGCATTGCAGCCAGGTAAAACGTCTCCTCCGCGTATTCCTCCTTCGCCGTGCATTATTACCGAGCTGGTTCGACGACGTTCGCGGAGAACTGCTGGGTTATCGCTACCAGTCTTCTTTTTTTTCCCTCCCGGACGTCTTTGAGCGTTGCACGCTCTAATTACCGTAATCGATTTGTTTGTACGCCAAGAGACGGAATGGTAGCTCTCTTGGCATTGTTAGGGACAGGCAATTGCAGCAAACGAGATATTTTGAAATTGCAACAATGGCGTTCTACGTTAGAGGGAGAAAGGTTTCCAGTTGAAAGGTTTCTGGGGGATGAAATCTATTGAAATCTATCGAAACCTTTGGATCTTCCGAATATACCGATGAGAACTCGTAGAACTAATCTCTACTCTTCTAAAGCTGACTGATCCGTACTGAAAATATTCTAGAATCCTCGAAAAATTGGGTTTCGTTAAAGACACCAGAAGTCGTTTTCAAAGACACTTTTATATTCAAATGTTTGATATGTGTAACAAGACCACCAGTCCAGTAATCAACTTCGGAAAACAAATGCAAAATGCGTACCGCACAGACGAGGCTGGATGAGTTTCACTGATAAACATTCAGAGATACCCCAAGTAGGTTAGCTACTCGTTACTGTGCCATCAGGCAATGTTGAAATTTATGGGGGTATCTACTTGTAGAGTCTAGTTTCTATTTGTAACTAGACAAATTGTAAAATAAAAAACACAAGGCCTGAAGGACGACTTCCGCTGATAAAAATTCTAAAACCTTAAACAAGTAGGTTACCTAACAATTACCAACCAACAAGAAAATCTTTCATTCCATTCTTAGAGGATACACCCTATCGTCTAAGGGTAGAATAATTTTCACTGTGAAGAATCCCAAGATCCTCTAAGTAGGCCACAAGCGACCTAAAGATAAAGATTTGTTAAAACGTCTCTGAAAGCCTACCCACGAATACCAAAAACACATACACGCACAGCCAAGTGCTGGAGAGTGAATTCCATCGATGGGAGATTGTGTACTGGCCCAAGTAGGTCGGTTCCTAGTTATCGGGCTACTCCAAGTAGGCCAGCTACAATGATCGTTACGGAGAAAAGGTTGAAATTTTCGGTTCCAGGTGACGGTACGTGACTACGATGCGGCACGAAGCTCTCCGAACGAGCCTGGAACCACGGTCCTTGGCCGAATCGGAGTCCGCCGGATGCCCAAACCTGTCTACTCCACCGGCGCGGCGCTCCATCGAGGCTCCGCCACGCGTGGAAGTCGTTTACCCCTCGGAGTTATTTGGCCCCTTCGCAGCGAGCAACGCTCCGACCAACGCGCTCCAACCGGACGACGAAGAGTGACACAACACGGAACGGAGACGGCGAACCTCCAGGCGGTGGAGAGAAAGAGAAAGCGAGCGTTTAGCGGCCCGCGGCGCGGCGGAGAGGAATCAAAGAGGGACGCGGGATGGGAGGAAGTCGAGAGGGGAGGAAAGAAATTTGTCAGTAAGAGGATCGTTGGGGTGTTCGGGCATTATCTTTGTTCTTCTCGTCAGGAACGGTGAGGATATTTTAGTGAAAACTGTAGTGGTCCTCGAGCCGAGACAATGTTTGTTCCTCTAGTTGCCACAACGTGATATGGGTATCTTGACTTCGTATTTTGAAGCTGTGAACTGTGGAAAGAAACCTTTTGCTACTTCAACCGTGTAGATTTAGCTGGACGATGAATTGCGAGATTGCCAAGTTAGCCTCTAGTGTTTTGGCACCTTCGGAGGTGGGATTCCCCTGCAGCTATTACGACTACTCTTCAAAACTGGATTTTCCTTTCAGATCTTTCTCTACACGTGCGAAGCTAGCTCGCCTATAGTTAGAGCGACCTAGAATCTTCAGAAGTGAGATCTCCTCTCTGATACCATCTTGACTTCTCATTTTGAGTCTATAATCTTCTTAAAATGACTTTTCATTCGTTTCACCCATCCAGGCTTAACTTTATTTCAAATGTTGAATCTTGAACGTAGTTAACGGACCTCCACACTCGTTATGCCAGCTGACGTATAGGTAGGATATTCTAAAACCCTCAACAAGTGAGACATACCGATTGGAATAAAGAACTACATCTATTCTTCCTAGACTCGCTTATATAGAAAAATGAAATGTGAACTTTCTACTTCATCATTTGGAGACTGCTTCAGGGTCTCGGAATGAAAATTATACCAACCACGAGCATATTTCAATATAGATTGATCTCTATCGTCAGAAAAAAAAAAACGGTACCTCGTAAATAATAGCCTGTCTTCACTATTTTCAAGAGGACTTGATAACCAAGAATTTAAAAAGTCTGTACTCGATACTCTGAAAATCCTGCGTACGTAATAATAGCCTAAACACGTAAATTCGCAATAAAACTAATTTCCACTAAAACACGTTCTTCGTCTTGTCACGGCTCCAAGCTAAACAGTTCACGAAGCAAACACATCAAGCGCAAAACGCGACAGGCAACAATCCTAGACTCCGAGATCAGAGATGAGCGAGACCGTATTCTACTGACAGACATCGGACAAAAACAACGCGTAAGCAGTCTATTCACAACGTTCGTTCGGTGTCATTCAGCCAAGTTTCCGCACGTACTCCGTAAAATATGATTTCATTCTACGGAATCCTAACAGCGATCGGTGGAACTAAGAAGCTGCGATGATTCTACGTCCAAAAATAAGTCGAAACGGTAGAATACAATTTTTACGCGTGACGTTTAGTTTTAAAGGAAACCGACCTTCGATCTCGTCTGGGGCACGCGCACCTGTTCGCGGGATTTTCGAATAGATTTTCCCCGACACGGAGTTTTGGACAGAAAAATTCTATTATACATTATCGATCCATTTTTTCACGTGGAATTACGTTTCATCCTTGGTTTTTCTAATTGGTGAAAGTCATCCTGTTTGGATTACGTTTTAAACTTTGATGCTGTTTATATATAAGGTACACAAAAGGTGTTACAAAATATACGTATTTCGACTCTACTGGGCGTTCCAAAGTAAACTTTTAATTATACGTTGGTCTTCCGTCATAAATACACATGACTTGGAATGATTCTGAAAGGCAAACCTTACAAAACATCATGGAGAACGTGAAAGCCAAAGGTAGGGTACATAGGGCACGGATGACGTAGCGCTCTTAGGAATGAATGACGCGGTGTTTGTGAATGAAAGCTGAGAAGTCGCGCATACATTAGGGTAAATTACGCTAACGATCGAAACGCGTCGTCTTAAACTAGAATTAAATTCCTATTTTTATTCAACGAGTAACGGGTAAAAAATTGTTTACCAGTTGCTCGTTATACGAAAATTTGCATCGGAAACGAGAACGGTTGGCCGTTCCCGAGATTAGGCGTAGAGAGCTGCGAAGAAACGATGCAGCAGCCCCGCGAAGAAAGAGGAACATTTCCGAGGGAGACGGACTCAGCTGATGCCTAAACGCGTGCGTGGTCCGCGGTGCAGGCAATCGGATGGGAAAAGGAGCTTGGCTCGCGAGGTGGATAAATCGTAGGTGGAACGGAGAGGGCGAGAAACGAGGCGAAGGAGCAGCCACAAAAAACTCGAGTCACGGAGCGAGAGGGACGGAGAATGAGAGGTCGAAGCAAAGATGCGACACACGTGCCAGGGACACGCGTGCTTGTGTAGAAAGACAGAGACCGAAGACTGGCGGACACTAGGAGAGAGACAGGAACGGTTGTAGCCAAAGCTAGAGGAACAAGTTCTCCGCCTGGAAGAAGGATGAGAGAGTTGGAGATAAGGGAAAAAATGACATAAAAAGGGTCTGTAGGTTGGACGAGTGAAAAAGTAGGTGGAAAAAGGGCCAGTGAAGGTAGAGTGGAAGAAGTAGGGGAAACAGGTAGGGTCTTGGGAGCCAAGTGGCTTTAGCTAGACCGAGCGAGCATTAGTTCTGAAATGAAAACTTGAGTATGCCTTCCAGTGATGAGGGTTGTAGGATAATCCGCGTAGGTGAGCTACTGAGCTACGAGAAGATGTTGAAATTGTTTAGGTACCTATGGAGTCCACTCTTGGAGAGACCAAAAATATCCATTAACTAATCGTCCAGGTACAACATAGTAAAGTAGAAACCTGACACAAGAACTTGACGATGCATTTCACTGATAAAGACTGGATACCCCCATATAAGTGAGCTACTAGGCTACTTAACTGTATCACCTTGGTCCAACGTCTCCTGACGTACTTCGAAGTGTGAGATCGAATTACGCGCTGGTCGCAGAGATGGTGCGCGTAATTAGGTGTGCATGGGTGTATGTTTGAAGAGCGCGAATCAGGAAGCGTGATTGATGGAATGTTTGTAAACGAGTGTATGATTGGCAAGGATGGAGACAGAGTGCGAGAGAGAGAGAGAGAGAGAGAGAGAGAGAGAGAGAGAGAGAGAGAGAGAATACAAGAAACGGTGAGCGAACGTGAGGACGAATGTTAGCATGTAAGGAGAAGCGAGCGAAAGTAGGTGTGAAATAAAGAGCAGCAGTAAAATCGTCAAGGAGTCTAGAATTAGTCCCCGAATATTTCCTACAGAACAATTGCTAACAGTTGGAGGATCCTGTCTAAGGATACTGGAAGAGATGACACAGCCAGGCGATTTTGGGCGTACTACGCCGTCTACCGAGGGTCCCCCTTTAGGCGGTCGAAGACAACGTCGGGGAGACCATCTTATGGCAACTCGCCCGCCGACGGCGGCGCGGAGACGTATTCCGCATACGTAAACCATGTCTCTCCTCTTACAACCGACGAATCCGCTGGCGTCTCACGAAATTTCGGAGAACACCCAATCCTTCGACGAAACGAGGACTCGAAGTGCATTCACGAGGCTCGATACTCTATTCAGAGACCATGACATAGGCTTTTCGTACTTTCCATCGAAGATGAGCAGAGTTTTCACGAGCCAAATGCGACGAGTACCGCTTGAGGGATACGTTTGCAACCTGAAAGGCAGAGATTACGCGTTTTGGGATAGACAGGAAGGATAGGTTTGTTCGTTGGATGAACTTTCTTAAGAGTTTTTTGAAATGCTACTTACATCAACAGCCATGTTATTTATAATACGTGTCGCTCTCCGCTTACCTGCAACAAAAAAGATAGATATAATGTAGAAAGAACGTCAAACGATCAAATCAACGAGAAATATAATGTACGAGTAGAGATTTTATTTTAATTTTATTCTAATGAGCGTGTCATCGATGAATTGGCGAAATTTTCCGAAGAAAATGTTTCCAGAGATGATCTCATTCGGACCTCTGTTAATTACTCGTTATTCGCATCACTTACGGAACGTGTACAACTGGGTTAAAGAAAAGAATGATGACACGAGAAACGAATGACAAAGACGACGTTAAAAATAACAATATCAGTCGGCAAACAGTTTGATTATCACGAAAGTGAAACTTGATAATAAGTGTACCAAGGATAATATCGTCGAGTACGATAGCTACGGAAATAACTAGAGTATGTTGCGAAACTGGCGTAACTTCGCCGCAGGCCGAAGATAATTTTACGAGTTTACGGTTTTCGAAGTGCAGTAAAAGGCGATGTGTGCATCGCGTATACATATCAGTATACATTGCGATTAAGGCCATGGTCAAAGTAGCCTGCCGGCACGCTTATAAATGCGAACAAGTTAAATACTTGCTTTTGATCTAGCCACTTATCGAAGTCGCTTGGAAAAAGTCCTCGTCCAGTTGCGTGGAGCATCGATTCGATAACGAGAACGTGCACAAAGTTATTCGGATAATAAACGACGAATGAAGTCGACAGATTTCAATTTACTCGTGACGCTTATCGAACAATTCAATTTTTATTGGTTCATTGCCAAGTATTTTATTTCGTAATTCGAATTTTTATTTCTATTTCATGACTAATAGATAGATTGATTTACTTCTTATTCGTCGTTCGACATTTTTTTTCTGGATAAGCAGACATTTAAAGCGCCAGGAAAAATTGAAATCGAGGACTAAACAAAATCGCTCGACGTATTTCTGAGAAACACGATTCAAGACGTGGATTTCCGTGATATTTTTACGATCCGAAAGTTTCTCTCCTTCCACCCTGTAGGTCATTTATTTACGTACAACGATGCACATTCATCATGTCCATCAAACCCTCTGAAAGAGAACCGACTCGCGATAAGTGTCAGCGGTAATCGTGCCGAGAGATCGGTCTTTTCAACGAATTTTCTGAAAGCGTCACGTTGAACAAATATTGCGAATCCCACCCACGCGTTTCACCGAAGAAACAACGCCACTTCTTTTTATTTTACATTAGTGGAATTTAACAAATCCTGGAATCCAGGTTCTCGCGTAGAAACTATACGTTCTTTTGAAAGTTGTTAAATTTATAGGAGGCTGTTAATATCTGTTACGTTTACTTCGTCGCATATCAAGAACTGTTTAAAAAGATTCTCTAGCCAAAACTGAATGCTTGCAAAAAACTCTCGTGAAAAAGATTGTTACTTCTTTTTGTAACTTTTATTCTCGTTTCGTATCAAAGAATTCAAATAACTATTTACTTTTATCTAGAACTATTTACTTTTATTAACTTTTTATCTAGAAACTGTATTTCATAAAGATCACAATTCCATTGAAAAACCGTAATTTCAAGTGTAAGATTAGCTACGACAAGTGAAAAGTGAGAGTACATTGTTTTACAGACTCGAAAGAAGTACATGTATTGTTAGAAAGCGACGTTTTGCAACTCTAACCCCACCCCCCCGGCAACCCCCACCCGTAGACTGACCCGCCCTCTAATGATCACGCCCCAAAGTTGAAAATCACTATACAGAGAGAAAATCGAGAGTGCAAAATACGCGCTTGACCTTAGCCAGTCATCGCTCCGCGGGGTCGTCGGATCAATCATCGAAGTGGGAAACAAGAATCGACTCTACTTTGCATCACAGAACCGCGCCTTATCTTCCAACGAAGTGCTAAGAAAGTTTCCATTCGGGTTCATAATCCGCGGAAGATTATGCTCTCTGCCCGTCGAAGACGTTCGCCGATCGAGTCACGAGCGACAAGGAATCTTTTTCCATGCACTGGGTATACCTAAAAATAAATGACAGAAATAATACCTCGATTGGAATTTTGTATTATTTTATTCTACGAGTCCATGTGATGATAAACATTGCAAATATCCACTGGTTTTTAAGACGATTATTGTTACGATATTTAAAAAATGGAAAATAGCGATAATCCATGACGAATACTATATTATATTAAATATATAAAATTATTCACTAAATCCTGTATTAAATTTAACATATGACCACCCCGTAATCGTTCCAGAATTAGTGAAGTCGAATCGGATCGCCCCGCCATTACGAAACGAACATCTAATTATTTTTCGTCCGGCAACGACATCGCCGAAATAAAAATAACCATGGATTCGATACGGGTTGAGAAATTCGAAAAGGGACCGTTCAAGATTGACTTTTCGTGGTCGTCGAATGTATCGGTGGCTGTCGATCGACCGTGGAAAATCTATTTCCTGCTCCTGAGATTTTAATTCGATTACTTCCTGAAGATGATAAATAAAAAACTTTATGTATAGTCTGTCGTTTAGAAATATTCATGAAGAAATATAGGAAAAGCACTTGGTATCCTCGAATTGAGTTGTTAACCACATAGCATATAACATAGCTATTAAAAAATTGCGCCGCAAGATTGTGACCCAAATTGCGTGCAACGAATCGCGAACCACCTTCGTATCGTGCAATGCACTTTTGCGATTCCAGACCGAAATAATCGTCGAGATAAAGAATAATTCAAACAAGTCCGTTTTTTTTTTTTTTTTTTTTTTACACCTTCGAAGTGATTGCCCCGATAAGATAAAGCAATCGATCGCGTCGATCCCCGCCAAACGTCGGGACTCCCCTTGTCATCCCTTCGTAATTTATCCAAATATATTTATCCGAGAATCCAGAAATATATAAATACTTTCGTTAAGAATATAAAAACAAGTTCCATAAATAACTAGGAATTTTTGCTACCTAAATTCAATTCACTTCTATATAACAAAAAATAAAGAAACCCTTAAAGCAAACAGCCGAATATAATTAGCGAGCTAACGAAGATTACGTTCTACATTTAGAGCCATCATTGGAGTCGAGCACCATAGTAGCGTCAGCTAACGCCGAGGAAACGTTTTCAGTTCAGAGACGACCAGTTTCTCGGGCTTACGAAATTTCGTGTATCTTTCTGAACGCCATTGTCGTGTTTCGGGGAACTGAAATAAAATACAACGGTGAATGTACAGTTAGGAACTCGCGTCGACAAACAGGATTAATCTGTGGCGACAGTTTCTGTCTGAGATAGAAGCTCAGCTCAACTGGCTCGTTCGTGTAAATATTGATGAGCGTGAAATATGGTGCCGTATTCGATTTTATTGGTCGTAAAAGCTTTGTTAACGCGTGTAGTATCGTGCTTTCACGGGCTTGCTCGTGGCCTCAGCTGTTCTAGGGCTTTTTAACGAACATTTTTAACGCGAGTGGCGTCAAACAATGTCTGACAATGTGTTCGAAACAAACATAAAAATTCGTAGCATTGGAACTAACTCGTTGCCCGCGAATAAACTGTTAAATCATCGTATTATGTATCCAGACACCTTACGCAACGGCTTGAGAGGTTACGTACGCCTGAACGATCGAGGAATTATTAGTTTTTATTCGTTCAACACAATACATGCTTTCCAGGAAATGTACAACATTTCTTTGTACATTTGTTCTGGGTATATCTTCAAATAACAAATTCATTCTCCCCCAAGCTGAACAGGCTAAAGGACCTTAAAAACAAGGAACAAGGAATCAAAATTCCAGATCCATTTCTGAGAATAAAAACAAATTCTCCCGCCCCTCACCCCGAAACAACTGACGTTGAACCGAACATGGAAAACAACTGAAGTTCTTCATCTTACAATACGCTCGATTTCAATCCTAAAAATAAATCTGGAATTTTTATTTCTCGAAATAAAATCTGCCCAACACTGGTGGCGAGATAGGGTCCGATGGGGCCCAGAATCTGGAGCACGGTGTCCCAGCGGCTCGATAGGTGCTCGTTCGGGTGCAACTATACTAAGATCGCGACCGACCATGCTGGCAACTACGACTATCAAGGTAGTTAGCGTGGACAGAGACGTGACGTTGCCCGTTGCCTGTCGGAGTACTTTCATTGCTGTTATACAACCGCGGATCGAGCGACCAACCGCTGAAAGGAGAAATGGGAACACGCAGAGGTTCTCACGCGAACGGGGAACCTAATCGATCGCGTTTCCACCACGAGAGAACCGCCCTCGATTGTTCCCTGGACGCCCTCATTTAACAGGAGGTCTCAGGGACGAAAAAGTCCTTCGCGATCCTAGAAAACAACAAAAGTGAACAAGTGAAATGACTCTAAATTCACTCACATACCTGTTCGTACCCTAATAGACATCTCACTTCCTGAACTTCCTTATGAGAACTTTATCAAAATGAAACTTGAAACTTTCGAACACCAAATTCTTCTTCAAGATCAAATCATAGCTCGAACCAAACATCTGAAACAAGTGAAATGACTCTAAACTCGCTCACATACCTGTTCGTACCCTAATAGACATCTCACTTCCTGAACTTCCTTATGAGAACTTTATCAAAATGAAACTTGAAACTTTCGAACACCAAATTCTTCTTCAAGATCACATCATCGCTCGAACCAAACGTCTGAAACAAGTGAAATGACTCTAAATTCGCTCACATACCTGTTCGTACCCTAATAGACATCTCACTTCCTGAACTTCCTTATGAGAACTTTATCAAAATGAAACTTGAAACTTTCGAACACCAAATTCTTCTTCAAGATCAAGTCATCGCTCGAACCAAACATCTCGAGCTCCTCAAAATGCAACTCACGCGAAGATCGTTAATCACTGATCTACCCTGAGTTTTAATCTCGAAATCGAATCTCAGCAACGAAAATCGAGCATTCCCGGCAGACACGCGACACAATGTTGCGTTACGAAAGAATCATGCCCTGAATCGCGGACTATGGTTGGCCGTTGCCAACGAGGATGACGATTCTCGTGCAAACGTTTCGCACGCG